GWAAWGAAAKGGTGACGTCAGAGTTTCCCGTCATGCAATATTTCAATTGCAAATGGCGGACGGAAGTAGATGTCTCTTCTTGAAACTTTGAGCAACTTATCATGACTTTAGAAGCCGCTATAAAAGTACTCAAACGCGCAGTTGAGCTCGATGAYGACAAGAGCTTTTCAGAAGCCTTGGTTTGTTACCAAGAAGGCATGGAATTGCTTATGAATGTACTAAAAGATACCAAAGACGATAATACAAGAAGGCYCTACAGGGAGCAAATGAACTCATATTTAGAGCGAGCAACAAAGCTTAAGGAYTTCGTAAYCGAAAAGAAAAAAGCAGGAGAATATCACGAACAGATTAAAATCCCAGACGGAGCTGTAGGCTATAGCTATGCTAGGATTTTCGGTCCTTACTTAGATAAACAAGTTGAAGAAGTTGTTGTTGAGGATCCTTACGTCAGAAGTGTTCATCAGATTTATAATTTCTTAAGACTTTGTGAACTGCTTGTGTTAAAAGGAAAAGTGCGCATTATCAGACTTTTGACAGGTAGGGATCAACAGTCACTAAGCCACAGGAAGCCCAAGCAATATCAGTCGGAGCTCAGTCCAGACTTGCTGTGCAGAGATTACTTCCCTCAACCTTTTCTAAATAGTATTACACATTGCATTCTGGTCTTGTTTGGGTATAACCTCTTCATTCATCCGAATATATATGACGATACGTGTGCCCAAGTAAAACCACAATCTACAATGTTTTTTATCAAAAAGAGTATTTGGGAATGATCAACTTCATAGCTCCCTTCCCTTCTACAAAGTTAGCTATGCCATTGCATCAAAGCAAGCCAAAGAGCAAGCATGCAACAATGATAGATACCTTTGATTAATTGTATATAGGCAACATGCATTATGGGTATCTAATTAATATGCGAGCTCAGTAATCTTGCTTTGTTGCACATTCACACCTACATTTCAAGTTGGTGCAAGAAACTGTTAGGTATATCATTTCTAAGAGAATTTAAGGATTAATTGTTGTTTAAGCCTAAGTTTTTCTTGTTATACCATAGGTCAAGACAATGCCAGTCCACAAAACATCAAAACCCAACAAGATAGACTAAATGAACTTGGCAAAAATCTTGAAAAACATAACATTAAATTTCAAGTGGAATACTGCAACACATTGCATGACAGAGAAATTCGCTTCAATACTGGCTGGGTGATAAAGATTGGTCGAGGACTGGACTATTTTAAACCACCAGAAGGGAAATTTTGCATTGGTTATTGTGATTATAATTTAAGACGATGTCATCAGACCGATGTAGATGTGTATTTTAAAAGGAAATAGTGCATTGGTGGATCCAGGGGGGGTTCCGATCCAGGGGGGGTTCCATGAGTTCCTAGGAACCCCCCTCAAGCATAAAAAAATAAAAAATAAAATAAATGATAAATTGAATAAAATGAAAACGCATCGTACAATGAAAAAGTTCGTTTTAGGTAAATGTGAAAACAAAGTGGAACTCCCCTTTGAAAAATCCTGGATCCGCCACTGTAGTGGTAGACTTATTACATATTACAGACACTTCACAAAACCGTGGAGTGAAACTATGACTTATGGAATCAGTCTAAGTCATACTTGATAGAGGGGAATGGGTTTGGAAACGTTTGGTTGACTTCTTTCGTACATCTTTTGTACGTATTTTGAGGTTGAATCATTCTGAAGACTGTGTAAAATGTTTTTTTCTTACCGACAATGAAAATTACAAAATGAGTGAACATAAACCCTTTCTATGAGATTATGAAATGAGATATTCCAATATTGGTTAAAAGTTTTTTAAGCACTTTGAAGAAATAGTCAAAAGAATAATTTTCCCTCTGTTCATTCAGATGTGACCAGTATGGCTAAATCTATAAGTCAAACAAAAGATTGTGCACTGTCGTTCTTGGAAAAAAAATGCACAAAAACCTACAACAAATGGCTTCCTTATAACCATTCATTTGGACCTTCAAGTCCAAGCATGCCTCAGGGTGAATTTCTAGACTGGGTTTCATGTTGTGTCTGCAGTTTTCTAGCATTTTTTCTCGCAGCTGTGTTGCACACAGRATATATGAATTATTATCATTGTTTTGTCGAATTTTATTTAGAAGTAAAATTATATTGTCCATGGAAAATCTTGAAAGTTCATTACCTTGGGCTCCCTGTGTATTATCTTCCGTTCTATTGCACTCCCCTTCCCCCCACAGTATCAATTTGCATTAGTTTCACAGGACGCCGATTATCTGGGAATGTGTCAAAACAGCTTTGGATCTTGAAAAGATAACAAGCTTTGTGGACTTTTCGTCGATGGCAAAACTCTAGCTTTCTTTCAGCCGTCACAGTGATAAATTCATGGACTACCACTGATCAAGTGGCAAAGAGTTCCAGCTGATTTTTGCGTCCTGCCGATTTGCTAATCAACAAAGATGGCGAACCAGACAACAGGCATTTTGAACCCAGGGTATTCTTCAAGCCCTCCTCCAGGAAAATCAGTTCTTAAAGAAGCAGTTGACGCTGTTGTAAATTCTTTTGCTAAACATGCTCAAGGATTTGGAGGAGGTAAGGAAATCTGACAGTAAGGACGTAACTCCATGTAGACATCAAAACTAATCTTGTCTTTAGATCCAGGTCGAAATAAAGCAAACATGTTTTGAAATTAGGCAAGTCCAAGTTCTTTTAAAGCAACAGAAACCTTCACATTAAACTTATTTATATTTCCTCTCAAAGAAGAAGAATATGTACCATAAATTAGACGGAAATGAGGGAAGATAGACGCGATTAAATTAGATGCTTGTCATCGATTCTAGAACACGAAACATTTCCGGTTCAGGAATTATACTTATTACTTAAATCGAAGTTTGTATATTTTGAAAACTGAAGCACAATTTCCAATACTGCATGTAGTATGCGCATTTTAAACTTTTGCTTATTGTTTTTGAGATAATTGTCGTTCGGTGTCATTAATCCAGGCTCTTTTGATGTTTGCCGACTGCGTTGTGTATCAAGCTTTTGCGGTTAACGGTTTTCGAATGCCATTGTGCATCATTATGCATATGACGATAATTTTCCAGGCATTGTCTTTCTTTTCCAGTATTTTTATTGTGTAGATTCTTGCGTACATGTGTCTTTTTCCTTTGAATTTCTCATTAATTTGTTCACTTATTTTATTTGTTCAGTCTCATCTTCTTGTTCAGTTATTTATTCATGGAGTAGAACCTCTACTTGCAGCCACCATCATTAGTGGCGATGATTTCCTATGAGCACATTTCCAAAAGATTCACAATTAATATGCCCTAAATGTGATCTTATCTCAATTCAATGTTTTGCTATATGTCTACCAGACAGGGTTGTCATGGATTCCACAATCCACGATCCTTGCATCCATGTACAAGGAAGCTTAGTATTTTTGAACAAACTTTTTTCAGAGTTTAGTTTTAACTCATGATTGTTCTTCACAGCTGTAAATGTAGAAGATGCACTTCAGGAGTTCTGGCATATGAAAAACTCATCTCGTGCAAATACTGTGAGATACGAACAGGAGACATTAGATAAGCCTCCATATGTTTGCTTTGTAATTCTGCCAGAAGGAAGTTGTTTTGGCAGCTTTCAGTCCTGTCCTACAAAAGCAGAAGCCAAGAGAAGTGCCGCTAAGATTGCATTGATGAATTCAGTATTTAATGAACATCCATCAAGGTGATTAATTGATTATTAATTGATGATAAATTAATGATTTATTACTTGGAGATTTATGATATTCCATGTTCAGGTTCATTGACCACAAACAAACCATTGAATCAAGGTGTCAAGGTACCCTGAGCGTCAAAGAAAAGATCTGTGCTCATTGTTCCTTGAAGTCTTGGTCCAATGCTTTGTTCATTGTCATGGAAACTGGTACAGAAAGATTTAATAGCAGTAGACACTTGATTGGCTAATGTTTATGGCTTGATTTGTGATTGATTGGGATGGTATGATGATTGGTGAGATGGCATTCTCGTACCCAGATCCTTCTCATTTTCTCAACGGAAAATCGAAACTGGATAGAACCTGGGTATGAGAATGGATGAGTCTTTGTAAGTCAAGTTGACCTTTATTGGAGCACTGCTTTTAGATTTGATGTATGATAACTCAAAGGTATCTGGAAATAGAAAAATAAGAGAAATTTTAAAGAAAAATGAGAGAATTTTGAAGTAAATTCATGATCAAAAACTGCCATAGATAAAAAAGACAAGTGACCAAGGACTGAATTTCTTAGAAGATATTTTCTGTGCTTCTATTCTCTGTTAGAAACATGTGGGATTGTTGTGACAACATCAGAAAAGTTGTGAATCGCAAGCTGAAAGTAATCCCTAAATCTCTAATGCTTTTATAAACAAGTTGCAACTCTTTGCTTGAAAGATTGTTTCTATGCTTTAACAGAAACAAACTTTTTACACATTAATCAACCAATCAATGTGTGTGTTATACAATAGTTCTTGTTATAGAATATACATTAAAACCTACCATTGAACAGACTATTAGCAATGGCACCACAAGGTGCAACTGGCGTGCTGTTGCTGTTTTTATCAAACGGTGCACAGTCTTTGTTAACTGTACTCTTTAGGTTACCATTTAGCTGAAGATCATCCCGGGATCTRACATAACGACGATGATTCTAGAAAACATTGATACAAAGCAGCTCTACATTGTATCCTCAACCAAAACTCARTTGAGTTATTGTGAATGAGTCATTTGTAACCCTGGCCACYCAAACCCAGGGAATGCCAGGGAATWAACACAGAATAGCCAGGAGTTTGACCCTGTTCATAGAGGATCAATCCATACAAAGGCAGGGYGAAATGATCCATTAGGATGTCTTTTTGGCCTCTAAGGGAGAGGAAATACTAGGGCTTATTGATGAAATGTTTATTGCAAAGGTATTGACCTGGGTGTTGGAACCCAGCCTGAATCATTGCTGATGTTTTATTCATCAGTAACTATCTGAATTGTTAGTATAAATAAAATCCTACATATACAGTAGTAGATTAGTGTATAATAAAGCTAACCCAAATAATGATATTTTAATCATCGGGAATTGCTGATGTTTTATTCATGAATAACTGACTATCTGAATTCAAAATAAATAGAATCCTACATTTACAGTAGTAGATTAGTGTTAGAATAAACGTAGCACAAATAATTACTGATATTTTATTCATCAGTAACTGACTAAAAAAATTCAGTGTAAGAACTGGCCCATATTGAATAATTGATGATGTTTTATTCATCAGTAACAGACTCAGTACTAGATTAGCCATAGTGCTCACCTGGTAAAAATTAGATAGACCATAATATAGGAAAACTTCACCAGAYAATTTAGTTGAAAGACTGAATGTAATGCTGCACTTGCASGTTTTTCCAGAATTGTTCACGTTTTTGAAGAAATCATCYCATCCCCCACCAGTYGTAGTYCTYTTACAGTGTGTYTACTCAATATCCTTTTCTTGGACCTGATAAATTACAATATATTGAAATTATTGGATAGGGATTCGTTGATATTTAATATTATTGCACTTACAACGCATTAATGTGAATAGTGACCTTGGAAATTGACGAAATTTAGAATTCAATAATTGGTTGATTACACATTGTTTTCAAAACCAACTTGACGATAATTTTGTGGTTTGATCAAGTTGCTGTATAGGGGATTTCTAATAGAATTAAGCCTTACATATTTTAATTTTAATACTCAAAAATAATTTATTGCGCTACTTAGATTTTCCTGTATACCCGAACAAAAGATATAACTTAGAATATAAGATATAACAGGCCTGGATAGCTACTTATTATCGAAAAAACTGGATAAATTTCGCTTTGTTTTGCGCTTTCAAAGCGAAATGTATTGACTCGTCGTCATGCAATGTTTTTCGGTATTTGTTTCTGCCTAAATTTAAACTTAATGTTTATCATAATAGACAATTATTTGCGTTAGTTCTTACTCCGTCAGAAGCAACCAAAAGAATGGCTCCGATCGGTATAAAAACGATCCCAACGATGAAGAATACTGGAAGAGCTGTCGAAGCAGTCAAAATCGGTTGCCACGCCTTGAGCCGTTGCTGTTTGAATGCAGTGTCTAAAAACAAGRAAAATATATTCCTYACATTAAGAAGYAATGTTARACAACCACACAGTGTAATATTCGTGAGTTTTGAAGGTATACCTGCAGGTTTTCGCGAAGCTGTCTTCTCCGGCTGCTCCGCCATCTTGGATGCTCCTGACACCTGCCTTCGGTTGAGAGGGACRSCYAGGTACTAAATATGGGACGYGCTTAGCAGYGAATGACGTCATGGCAATAACAACACAGCTATCCCAAWCATAAATATACTTGCTTTTTGTTTTTGCACTGTCCTCACTYWKSTTMTRSTTMTRCTTTWRKWTTWCA